AGCCCAAACCTTGTTAATTAATTTCTTAGAGCAAATCAACAGTAGTGTTTCCATGATGGGGCTTATTTACTAATATAATTGAAACTCAGATGTATAAAGGAGTTTAAATGATAAAAAAAACAATAATTAATAAATAAGATATTTTTCTGAAATACAGAACTTGAAGTTCTTTAAACAAATCGTCAACAGTAACTACGATATGTGTTATGTTTGATTTTCTTTAACTTCATATCGTACACTACTATGTATATTATGATGCGTACAATAAGATAAAATATTCTTCAAGTTTCCAAGTTATACTTAAATACCTAGCCCTAAAGGTTTTATTCATATCTTTATGTAACTTACGTTCTTCAAGTCGATTTTTAAGAAACATTTAGTTTTTCTCCAATCATTCTATATATGTATGTGTTAAGGTTGCAAAATTCCCAAATATGTCTTTTTATTTCTTGAAATCGTTTTCATTTGCTAAAATCGTGTTATTCTGAGAAATAAATAACCGCATTAAACTTATATCTCCTTGGTAAGTGTTACTAATTTTACCTCATTTTATTTTACATTTAATTGTTCTTATTACCTGTACAGGTATTTAGATAAGTTAGGTTATGAAAGTTTACCTTAAATAAGTATTTGATTATTAATAACTATTACAATGGTTAAAAATAAATGGTTGGGCTGCTATGTACGTATATTTAATTCTATGTTTTTCCACGTGAAAATTTATAAACAAGTATTTTCAACATATATAATATTATATAATATATACATTTGATGGATAAATATTATACTGTTAATTGCATTTCTTATATTTACAATAGTATAAAAATCCGAGTTCATGTTGCTTTTTAGTGCATGTTATTAAGGAGACCGCTTTTCGTTCAATCTCCTTGCTGTAAACGCTGTAACTATGTTGATGATGTACATTTATCAGTTTAGTGAATAAATGTATGGAGTTTGATTTATTTCTCTAGGTATTAATACTTCTTTTGATATTTCAATTATTATACATCTTATGCTTTTTTTAATGCATGAAAGTACCGATAAAACCTAAGTATGTCACCAAATCGTAAAACGAGTAAATTTACATCTAATCAAAAATAGCAACGCCGAAATATAGGCTATTTTCAGTTAACGCCTTTGAACTGTCTAAAATTACTGTGGTCTGTTGATGTCAAAATTATTTTAAAATTGATATTTTTATTTTTAATTAACAACACAAAAAATTCAATTCAAACCTTACATAGATGAATAAATATTTTATTGAAAAGTGTTCGATTTAACCGGCATCAATAAAAGTTCACGAAAAAAATTAGTTTCTTAAGAATATATTTGTCACATATTACTGATGAAAATCGTATTAAATCAGCCTAACAAATCTTCATTACAAATGAGTTGGTTGAAGCAAAATCAAGATGGAACAAAGTCTTAACTTTTTAGCTATCAAGTCGGCCTTTTAGCAATTCTAGCATTTTTTTTCATCTGGTAGATAAAAGCAACAGTTATATATTATCATCATACACTATCAAATACTGTAATAGTTTATAACAGTTTTATCTCACACGTGAATTACATCATTAACCTTCTCAGGTTACCTTTTGAAGCTACGTCTAGGTAGTACAATATTGCCATCTAGAAGCCAACGAGCTCGGCTCATTTTTCACTAGAGTTATCACAAAATAAATAATAAGCATTAAAATTTATCCAATTTTTTTTAAACAATTGTATCTCAATATCCACGGAGGAAACACCACTCCCTTGCTGAATGTAGAATCAGCAACTTCAAAGCATGTTGCCTTGTACTCACCATTCAACTACTTTGTTAAAGGGTTGTGTCATCTTTGTTGATTGTGATTGTTTAAAGAAGCAAGAGTACGTTACAGTGCTCTTTGACTTGGACCTGTATATAGAGTTTATTGGATTTAAAGTTAAAAATCAATATTTTGTTTCAGAGTAAGCCTAAAGTAATGGAGAAAAGAAAGGTATACCATGTGTTTTAACCTTCTTATATTAACAAAGTGTTATTTTAAATTTATTAGTTGTTATGAGTGTGTGCAGTTTCACATAACAAATGGATAAGAAAGTAATTCAGCTGATTTCATTCCAGCTATCATTGTTACTTTGTCATTCTATTGAGGTCACACCTATTCTGCTCTTGATGTGAATGGTTGTAATGCTGCATGTTGTGCAAGAATGTAGAAATCAATGTACTTAATGGTAGATCAGAAAGTATCTTGGATTCCAGTGTACCTTATGCTTGAATAAGAATGACCAGCACAACATAAACTCTAATTACCCTTAATAAATGTTACGTAAAAAGTAAGGAGCATTGAATTTGCAGTTTGGTTGATAATTTTGGCCTGATAAATTGGAAAAAATTGTTTCAACAGTCCATTGTCATCCAAAGCAAGTACACACACACATAATACTTATGTTTGGTTATAATCAAAATTGTGCTTTTGGATTTTACACTGTGTCCACTTTCTTTATTTCATTCTTACAAAATCATGTATATAGAGAAAAGTGGATTATCTCGTATAAATAT